TTTACAGACACACACACAAAAAACCTGTTTCAGTCATACCAGTGATGTCTGTTAAGGACAGGAACATTTTAAATTGCTTAAAAAGGAGAAGAAAAAAATTTAAATCATCCATACTGTCACCATCCAAAGGTGACCATGTTAGTTAACATCCTACCAGTGGTCTTGTTTGGCACTGGCTGAAAGTCCTTATTTTATCAGAAGTGAAAACTAGACATATTCATATGTTCCTATATTCAAACTTTAGATTACCCACTGATAGAAGAAATTCAACAGAGTTGAAGCAGTTCTGATTCCGTTCCGTGCCATTTGTGTGGCAAACTTTTATTTACTGTGACTTCCCTGGTGAGTTACCGGCCCGCGGCTCCCGCTCCGTTTGGCTATTGAAACTGCAGGTGGCACCCAGATGTCCTAGGGAACATGTGGAAGGGAAGAAAGGTAACTAACAGAAGCAGTAGAAGACTTCAGTGCTGTGTACCTGGATAGCTGATTTCAAAACTTGTTCTGATTTCAAACTGTGACAATCTTAATATGAGGGGGAAAAATTTAATTTTGAGAACTTTATGTTTTTTTTTAATATGTCAGCAAACTTTTGTTGAATTTCTGTCTTGTGCAGGATACTTTACTAAAATTGTTTCTGCTAAGACATCGGTGACTTCCTTTTGTTAAAGCCAGTGTTACTTTTCAGACTACATTTTAACTTTCTCTCTCTGCTTCATTTTATCCTTTGACTCCTTCCAAAGATTCACTCTTCCTTTAGCCTCAAAATAGCTCACTTCTGTGGTTGTCCTTCTCTCTCTCTGGCCATTCGTTGGTCTTTTTTCTTTTTTTTTTTTTTTTTAACAGTTTTCTCATCTACCATCTCTCCTGCAAAGTTTAAGTCCTAAAGATTCTGACTTGAACCACTTACTCTCCTTACTCTACCCACTTTCCTAAGCCACTTTCATGGCTTTGTTGTTCACCTTTCATGTGATAAAGATCTCCCATAGTACATCTCTGGCCCAGATCTTTCTCCTGCTTCCAGATTCAAATCTCCAGGTGTCTATAGGAGTCTCCATAGACATGTTTTAGAGGTAGGCCAAAGTGTAGGATGTTTGAAAACATTAGCCATCGCTCCCTGACTAGTCTTTCTCCATATCCTGCATTCCTAGTCTCAGCGATAGTACAACTACCTAAACAAAAATCTCAGTTTTTCCTTAACTTCCACCTGTTTCTCATTCCCTGTATTTAAACATTTATAACATTTTATGTTTTTTGCCTCCTTACTATATCTTAAAATGATCAGATCCTATTTATCTTCATCACTACCTGCTTTTTAAATTTTTAATTCCAGTATAATTAACATATAGGGTTATATCAGTGTCATGTACGATAGAGTGACCCAACAGTTCTGTATATCACTCGGTGATCGTAAGTGTACTCATAATCCCCTGTCACTACCTAATTTTTTTTATCACTACCTAATTTTTAATGGCTTAATTTAAAGATTTATTTCAGCAAAGAACTCTTTCCCAAACTGTGTTCCACAGTGTTTGTTCCACAAGGTGTTAAATGGTATTCTACACAATATCAGTTTGAGGAATGGCCAAATAAGTTTGAGAAATGTTGCATACCACCATTCTCATCTTGGCAATTCACAATGAATACGAAGCACTAAGAAATCCTGCAGAAAAAGAGTTTGTTTAGCATTCCCATTAACTTCACCCTACTTCTTCTGTGGGCAGGTTTTATTTTTTTATTTTTTATTTTTTTAAAGATTTTATTTATTTATTTGACAGACAGAGATCACATGTAGATGGAGAGGCAGGCAGAGAGAGAGAGAGAGGGAAGCAGGTTCCCTGCTGAGCAGAGAGCCTGATGCGGGACTCGATCCCAGGACCCTGAGATCATGACCTGAGCCGAAGGCAGCGGCTTAACCCACTGAGCCACCCAGGCGCCCTGTGGGCAGGTTTTAAATGGCTTGCTTCCATTGTATAGATTGGGCCAAGTTTTATAGGATAGGAAGTAAGGAACATACTCTTTTTCTTCCGAGTATTCATTTTTCCTGTCAACATTTGCTGAGTAATCTCTCCTTTCCCTGCTTGTTTATGGGTCTTCTTTATCATATATTAAATTCCTAAATATCTTGGGGTCTGTTTTAGAGCTGACTTTTGGCTTTTTTATTTATTTTTTCAAGAGAGGGCATCTCTTGGTATTTTTTATGAAAACCCATCTAAATATAGAATATATCATCTTTAATAGCTAAAGCCATGCCTCCATATATCCAAGTATCAGATGTGAAACTTTGCAGCAATAAAATTGAGGCCAGGTGAGTCCTCAACCATGAAGTCTATTGGAGAAATTTTTGCACTGGGTAGGAAGTCAAACTTGAAAGGGTATTCACAGTATTTTGGTAATTGGCTACGTCATTAGCAGTTGAAATGAGCAAGGGCTGTATTCCTCGCACCCCTCTTTTCCAATTGACAAAAATGATGGTGTTTAGCAACCTCAGATTAGTCAGGACTCAGTTTTCAGTCAGATATACCTAGAAACCTGTTCATATCTATCTTCCTTCATAATGCTCTGATTTCAGGAAGCGATTTAGTAAACTTATACCTGAACTACTTAAGATTATAGAATTAATCACATCTTATTTTTTTATTGTGTCATTCTTTATTTTAAGAATATTTTTAGGGGTGGCATGGTCGGTTGAGCATTCAGCTCTTGGTTTCAGCTCAGGTCGTAATCTCAGGCTCATGAGATGGAGACCCGTGGGGCTCTGCACACCCAGCATGGAGTCTGCTTCAGATTCTCTCTCTCTGCCTCTCTTGCTCATGCTTGCTCTCTCTCTCTCTCTCTCTCTCTCTAATAAATAAATAAATCTTTAAAAAAAATCTTCAGACATTAAAACATAGTCATAATATTATAATCATGCCAAAATAAAACATCAACTCAAGAATTCAACCAGTATTCATATTTTCCTACATACCTCATATGAGTACTTTTTAAAAGAGTAGATCTTTTTTTTTTTTTAAGATATTATTTATTTATTTGACAGAGCGAGAAATCACAAGTAGACAGAGAGGCAGGCGCAGAGAGAGGGGGAAGCAGGCTCCCTGCCGATTCAGGGCTTGATCCCAGGACTCTGAGATCATGACCTGAGCTGAAGGCAGAGGCTCAACCCACTGAGCCACGCAGGCGCCCTCATAAGAGTATTTCTAACTGCTAGTTTGGTCACTTTTTATATTTGAGGCATTAAAATAATTACTCAAATGATTTATCCTATAAAAATAGCCCATGTTAGGGGCACCTGGGTGGCTCAGTGGGTTAAAGCCTCTGCCTTCGGCTTGGGTCGTGATCCCAGGGTTCTGGGATCGAGCCCCTCGGTGGGCTGTCTGCTCAGCAGGGAGCCTGCTTCCTCCTCTCTCTCTGTCTGCCTCTCTGCCTACTTGTGACCTCCATCTGTCAAATAAATAAAATAATAGCCCATGTTAGAAATATTGATACCAATTTTGACTTTATTTTTTTCCTTTTCTACTTGAACAACATTCTAAATATATTAAGAATGCTAGATTACATCAATTTTTCTATAAGTCTCTATACACATGGATCCTTTTCTCATGGTCAAGTGATCTTAAGAGACTTCTGGGATAAGTCTGACATTTTTCCATTTTGAGATTTGTTGCTTCTTTCATCATGTTTATAGAATTTTTGTTTATCTCATAAATAGAGCTATATTTGCTTATTCATGAGTATCTACTTCCTGATATATGATAAGTACTTTGATATAAAGATTTAGTTTTGATTATCATTTTTCAGAAAAATATTTCATGATTTATTTGAATATTTTTCAGTTTTTCTTTTCTATTTTACTTCTGTTCAGGAATACCTATTATATTTGCAAGTCCCCTGTTTATTTGGCATATTTTTTTTTTCTCAAATACTTTAAAAAATTCATTATTGAAGAATAATTAACATACAAAGTTATATTAGTTTCAGGGGTACAAGATACAGATTCAGCAATTCTATACATTACTCAACACTCACCATAAAAGTATCACCATACAGTATTATTGTAACATTATTGACTATATACCCTGTACTGTACTTTTCATTTCCAAATCACATTTTATCTTGAGTTGCAATTTTTTAATTGATGTAATTCTCCTGGCCTGGAATGAGCAGTGACCAGGTAAATTTCTTTCGACATCATTGTGAGGCTAATGCAGTTTTTTTAATTTTGTTTCTTTTTATTTTATGTTTTTTTTTTTTTTGTGCTCAGGTTGATTAGCCTATTTTGGACACCTAGAACCCATACTTTAGGTAGATGATGCTATGGTCCCTTTCAATTCTATGATTCTATGATATAGTATATATGGAAATGTCCTAGTTTCCTTAGGAGAAAGAAGAAAGTTAAGGAACAGCAAGCACAGATGTATTTTTGTATATAAAAAAAATCTGAATAGAGAAACTCTAAAATGTTACCAGTGGTGATAAATGCATGGTGGAACTTTGCTAGGTGTCTTCTTTTCCCCAGATCCATTCTGTACCCTGCGCTGGACCCTGGGGAATGACCAGTATAGACTATAACTATGGGCTTGCTCCCCTACTCTCTGGTTTCTGGTTGGGTTCAGCCAATGGAGAGTCCCAAGAGATCAGGGAGAATGTGGGGGGTGGTAATGAGATATTGATTCCCCAGCCACTTACTTTCAGAATTGCCTTGTGCTGGCCCAGTCCCTCCACTAAAGGTCATAGCTCTTCTCCAGGAGGGCTTCTCTATTTGACTCCTGGGTTCTAGTAACCACTACTTACCCTTGCCCTTTGAGGCCTGTGGTTATAACAGCCCACCCTATCTAGCCCCATCGCTATCCCTGGTGATATCCCTTTATCCTTCCCAAGGACAGTAGATCATTGACTGAATAGTCTGCTGTCAACATTAGGATCTAGGTGCTTGCTTTAAGAAGTGCTGGTTGCTGTCAGTTATTTCTTGGCTAAATGGATGTGCACTTACTTTTTGTTTTTAGATCCAAGAGTCGAAGACTGGTTCCTCATGTCCTCACCTCTGCCACAAACCATCGTCCTCGGACTCTATGTCTATTTTGTCACTTCTCTAGGACCAAAACTCATGGAGAATCGAAAGCCCTTTGAACTCAAGAAAGTGATGATAACATACAATTTTTCCATAGTTCTCTTTTCTGTGTATATGTGTTATGAGGCAAGTGTCTTCAGTATTCCTAGTGGGAGGATTTTGCCTGACTCTTCCTGTTTTGCTGTTGTTATGTTTCTTGTTATGATTATAATGGTAATGCTGAGATTTAAGGGATTTTAGAAATTTATCTTAAATTTTTGCCCCAAAATTGTTATGTATGGACCTGCTATTAAACTATTTAGAGGATCTCAGTATAGTCTACCTCACAAGTAGTGAGAAAAATGAACATTAAGTCCAGGAACTTGCACATAGGTAATCTTAGTAGATGATTGAATGAATCTGTGAATGTTAGTTTTAAGGAAACTCATACATGGAGAAATTAAGTAACTTACTCAAAGTAACACAGCTGGTTATTGGAGGACTGATATTTGAGTCCAGGTCTGTCTGACACTGAGCTCATCTTGACTATGTAATGAGTTATCATCATTGTGGTAGGAACCTCAGATGAGCTATAATATAGTAGACTGTGTAGGTTTGGTTTAGCTGGGCCTTGAGGACACAGAGAATTTGGACTCCTACAAAGCAATAGGTAAGGGAGCCTGTCCCTTAATTGTCAATAAGAGAGATGGGGATCTTTCAGAACCTAAGAGTAGACTCATGGATTCTCTCTCACCCACTGTACTGTTAACTTTCACCCAGCTTCACTTACCTGCTTTTCTGAGATTCCTTGCTTCTTTTTTCAACACTAGTTGGCTTCTTCACCTTCTACTCCTTATTTACTTCTTTGCAGCATAGCTTGTGCTTCATCATAACTGGAACTCTCGAGGGCCCACCATGACCCCTCTGGCCTCTCTTGACACCATGACCTCTCCACATGCATCCCTCCAACTTGATTCCTGCTGCAAATCCACCTGATTGAGTCACCTTACGTTTGCTGTAGTCTCATGTCCCACCTGCCTCCTTAAGTCTGGACTTACCTTGCTACCTTCTAGTTCTTCTATTTTATTACTAAAATCAACTACAAGCTATCTTACTGTCCCTTTTGGATCATGAGTAACTGAAAGGGAAGGGGTAACAGAGGTGGGGAGCAGAAAAAATTCATGCTTTTACCAAGTTATGACAGAAAGGAAATAGCCTCTAGGATCATGTTAAGTGCAGACCTAGAAGCCAGGAGACTAGGGGCTAATTAGTACCAGTTGTGCTACTAACCAGCTGCCTGACTTTTGAGCAAGTTACTTAAGCCCTCTGGGCCTTAGTTCCCTCTTTTTATAGAGTCAGGATTAAACCAAAGTGTTTCTCACGTCCCTTTATGCTCTGTGTCTGATTATGTCATTCAGTATAATATCCCCAAATATGTTTCTCAGGAAGGAATTTAATTATAGCCAGTAAGTTTGGGTTCCTATTTTAGCAAATACAATGTAAAAGGAGTTTTGAAAATATCTGAATTTGGCGGTTTCTATCTCTCATTAATCACTCATACTAGAGTTGCTTATATGCCAATGTTGGGTTTATTACCTGTCAGATATAAATTATTGCTCATTCTTCTTGATGGCCTGCAATATAGTAATGTCACAAGCTTCACAGACTATTAGAATGTTCTTAAACTTAATATCAGGAAAGCACTAGTTTCCACCCTCTTTTTAAACAGAGTTTGGCAGCCGGTCATCATGTCATCTCCAGGACACTGAACACATCCCGTGGTTTGTTGGGTAGAGCACAATTGCATCAGATATACAGAGGAGACACCTCCACTTATGGATGTTAGGGAAAATAAGAACAAGATGAAAGGGAAGCACATCAGACTAAAGGAACCCACCTGCCTTATTGAATAGTGATGATTTTGAATGTGCTAGTTACTTGGCACCAGACAGACATTAAGAGAGAGAGAGACTTGTGAAGACCTAACCAAAGGCCATGTCACAGAGCTTCTCTTGTTCAGCTTAGTCCTTATTTGGGGTAGGGAAAAGTGGAGAACCAGTCATCCCAGTTAGTTAACTAGACTTTGTTTTACTTGCAGCAGTCAGTAGAGAGTCTGACTGGGAGAGAATATGACGCTCACTGACAGATCAGGTCTTTGTAGAATTAGCTATTTTCCTACCACATTCCCCTGTTCCTTTGAGAAATATTCATTGATTTGGTTTTGTAAGTCATTTTTCTTACCCGTAAAATATGTCTCATACTTTTCTGAATCTTAAGATAGTCTTTTTTTAAGATTTCATCATGTACCAAGTAAACAGTAGGATTAACTATCTTGCGAATCAAGCTAGGAGCAAATATCAGGAAAGGATAGTGTGATTTTGAAATGCCACTGTCTAAACAGTTGTTCTTTCTCTTTTGCTTCTTTTTGTTGTTTTTTTTTTTACCATAAAAATATCATTCTGATAAACCCCATAAATTTTTGCTTTTAAAAATTAATTTATGGTTAAGTTTTCATTTTAGCTTTAATAGTAATTAAAAATATAAATTTAAAATGTGCATGAATGGCAGAAAATGATGTAACCATTATACTGAGAAAGAAGACATTCCAGGGAAGGTATTGGCCCTTGTGAGAATAGGATGTTAGAGAAGAGCTGGTCATATTGTCAGAACACTCAGTTAAGCCAACCACTTAATATACTCATTAAATGAAAATTAGAGCCCTTAGCTTTTCATTTTCAGATACTGTTTTTTTTTTTTTAATTTATTTGAAGTTTTTATTCGGATCAGATACTGTTTTAAAAGAACTTCCCACCATCATACTAAAAGAATGTCAACATAACGTTTGAATTAAGGTTCAGATAAAAACAATAGGCTCTTTCTTCTCACCACTGGTCTAAGGTCATTTTGTGGGTGTGCTGGAATTAAGGCATGCACTCTTATTGTTAACATTTTTGTCTCTTACTTGTCATGTGAATCCAAACTGAACCAATCTCTGAGACTTATGTTTGATCAATCTTGATTTAAGAACCATAGACTACCACTTCATATCACACACACTAGCCAAGGACAGGAAGGCCCAGTTGTGGCAGCCACTAATAGTACAGTAAGAAATTTTGGTTGTCCATTTATTTCTTGACTGATTGAGAAGATTAGAAATTGCCAGAAAAGACTTTTTTCAGACTGTTACTCCCTTCAGAGTACACAAATATACTCATGGGTATATATAGATATACATATATTTACATATACTGGCATACACCTACCAGTATTTGCTATCGAAGCAAAACACTCCCAGTGTTTTATTCTCCACTGTATTAGAATAATCATCGTAAGAAATGGACATTTGAGTCAGAACACAGTTGATATAAGTAATACATAACTCTATGATTTTGAAAATTCTTGTTGCTTTATCAAGTGAGTTCCCATTTTATAATTATTCTAGCCTGCTTTTCCCTCAACGCAGCATGCTGAGTCAGCTGCGCTTGTGGTAAAGAGACACAATCAAAAGTACCATTGTTGTAGCTGTTGAGCAAAGTCTTCCTTCTTTAATATACATGTGCTCTCTTACAGTTTGTGATGTCTGGCTGGGGTACAGGTTATTCACTTCAGTGCGAAGTTGTTGACTACTCCCAGTCACCTTCAGCATTGAGGGTGAGTTTTTCTTTGGAAAAACTTGTAACTCAAATGTTACTCAAATGTTACTCAAATGTTTAGAGTTTGTTTTTTTAACACTTAATGTGAACTCAGAAGACTTAAATGACCCAATTCTCAAATTATATGGACTGAAAGAAAAAAAGCTAAAAATTATAAGAAAGAATCAATGTCAGGGGCGTAGTTTTCTGTTAAATGAAAATTGGTACTTTTATTTTTTAACTTCCTGGATTTAAAAATGAATTCGTATCTGGTTCCTCAAAAAATTAAAAATAGAATTACCCTATGATCTGGCAATTTCGTCTGGGTGTATACCTAGAAGAATTGAAAACAGGGACTCAGAGATATATTTATACACCCATTATTCATAATAGCCAAAAGATGGAGGCAACCCAAATGTCCATGGACAGATGAATGGATAAAGATAATGTGTCATATCTATACAATGGAATATTATCCAACCTTAGCTAGGAAGGAAATTCTGACATGTGCTGTAGCACGGATGAGCCTTGAGGACATTATGCTAAGTGAAATCATACAGGCACAAAAAGATAAATACTGTATGATTTTATTATATGAGGTACCTGGAGTAGTCAGATTCAGGGACAGAAAGTGAAATGGTCGTTGTCAGGGGTTGGTGGGGAAGGGAGATCAAGAGTTATTGTTTAATAGGCACAGAGTCTCACTTTTGCAAGATGAGAAGAGTTGTACGGATGGATGGTGGTGATGATTGCACAACCATGTCAATGTACTAAATACCACCAAACTGAACACTTAGTAATGGTTAAGATGGTAAATTGGGTTATGCGTATTTTGCCAAATTAAAAAAATAAAATTTTCCTCCGTATAAAAAATAAAATAAATTCATATTTATGTGTGTTTCTGCAGATGGCACGCACCTGCTGGCTTTATTACTTCTCTAAATTTATTGAGCTGTTAGATACCGTGAGTATGTGGTCACCACATTTGCTAAATGTTTGATATTTTAGTAGAAGCAGTAAACTGCTAGAGTTCAGTTGTCTTGATAACTCTGGTATTTTCTCTACTTCAGGCAGACCTCCTATTATCTTTTACCTTTTATTATCAGTAACTTTAGAGAATAGATAGGATAAGCATTTTTTTTCAGTCTTTTGCAAATTCTGAAAGGTTTTCTTGTGTATCTACCACCTGACTAAGATAAGCATGTAACTGTCACTGCAAAACTGTGCAACTTTATGGAGATGAATGACAGGTGTTTGGGGAAGCAAGTTCATGAAGCAAAGAGCAGAGAACATTTTACCTTGGGTTCTTTCAGTATAAACCAAAGCACTATGTCATCCATATTTCTTTAAGAGGATAAGTGCTTCAAAATTCATAAGCTTACATTAGGATATTATCCCTGGGATATCAGTAATTTTGATAATATCAAAATGATCTCCAAATGCCTTTCTGAAGTTTATGCTTACTAGATCTTCTCTCTTCCAACTTAACATCCTATTGAGGATCAACTCTGAATTTGGGTGACTGGGGTCTGGGAGAAGCAAGTGCCATGGGTTATGGTCCTTGATGAGAGGAAAAAGCTGTGTTCTTCTGTTTTAACAGTAGCCAAGGAAAGCTGGGTATTTATCATATATATGGGGCATGTAGGTCTCAGATACCTGGAACTAGTTCTGGATCTAAGAGCTGTGTCGTCTTCTTCTTCAGAATACATATTACAATTACATATTAGAGAATACATACTTCTTTTCTTTTTTAATTTAAATTCAACTAATAACATATAATGTATTAACTAGTTTCAGAGGTAGGGTCAGTGACAGAACACATATTCCTTGTAGTAAATCTCAACATGCTTCACCTTCTCAGCTGATGAATCACATAATGTTAGAATTGGAAAGGATTTCAGTGAGCATAGAATACAGTGGTTCTCAAACTTGGGCTTGCCTTGGAATCACCTAAATACACAGATGCCTGGACCCCACCCCTAGGGTTTCTGATTCAGTGTGTTGGGCTCAGGAAGTTACATTTCTTTTAAGTTCTCAGGTGATGTTATTGCTGTTGGTCCAGACTCTACACTTGAGAGACCCCTGTTATAGTCAGGGTTCCCAGCCATCATAGTACAGGAGCATTAACTGCATTAGAAAAACCAAAAAAACCTGGGACCCATCTCAGAGAGTTGGTGCCAGGTGGCCTGTACTTAGAGACTAGCCATGGCTATTTTTATAAAGCATCTTGGACATGGTAATATACAGCCAGGGTTGTGAACCACTGATCTGGGCCAGAGCTCTCAATCTGAAAATAAATTGAAGCCAGGAAGGTAAGTAACTCACCCAGAGGAATGCCACTATTGCTTGGGACCGGGACCCCAGATAGTTGGTTTGGGACTTTTTCATTGCATCATGCTGCCATCTTCCATGTGCATAAGCAAATGCATTTTGGCTTTATTGTTTCCTGCTTTGTATGTTCTCATTTATTTCCAGGTTCCATAAGGAAACGGTTGCTACCTCTATGTCCTTTCCTAAACCACATTTCTTAAATATTACTATGGATACTTTTGTTTGTGGTGCTCTGCTTGGTCCTATAGTTAGAAGTCTGACTCATTACTGGTATTCTGAATTTTGACTATTTTTTGAACACTTAATTCTGCTTTTGAATTTTTTCTTGAAAAAAATCTGCCCCTGCAAAAGCCTTCGTGTTCTCTTCTTTGTTTCTGCAAACCGTGGATACATTCAGTCTGGATGGTGCCTTTGTTGCCTTTCTCCTTTTTCGCAGGCCACTTTCCCCCCATCCTATTTCTTCAAATCCCCTCGACTTTTTCCATTTCATCTTTCTTTAATAATAATATGCTAACTTTTGCTTTGTTGCAAGTTCTCTTTTCAGTTTGCTTAATTCCTTATCTAAATTAGTAGGATGTCTTAGAGAGCAATATAGAATAATTTCTGTCCTAAGAATTGAGACTCTGTGCTTTCCCATATACTTCAAAAGCCACATGGATGTTTTCCTACCAGTAACATTTCTTTCAATAATATTTGGCTATGTTCGTCACTTTGCGTTTTTGATTTTCAAATCCACATACATTTTCTTTAACACCTTTTTATTGATTCTCCCATGACTATTCATCATACCTAAGTTCCTTCATACTTATTAGCTTTTTAGCTGCCCCTTGGAGAATCAGCTGCTTCTATCAGCATTCTCTAAGGCAGCCCTTTCAATGCAAATTATGATGTGAAATAGTTTGTACTTTGCCAGTATTTTTGTAGATAAATCAGTAGATCAATCATTGCATGATTTTCTATGAACTTGATTTTTTTTAAAATTATTTCAGATCTTTTTTGTTCTGCGTAAGAAAAATAGCCAAGTGACTTTCCTGCATGTCTTCCATCATACCATCATGCCATGGACCTGGTGGTTTGGAGTCAAATTTGCCGCAGGTAGCCAAGGGAGAGTTGGGATCATGTGTTATAAACGATTACATTTCTGTACGTTGTAAAGACAAATTCTGTCCTTAAATGTGATTTAGAAGAAACTTAAAACATCAAAGGACTACTTGGATCAAACTTCTGACTTTCATTATTACCTGAAACATAAAAGTAAGACTTTAACCTAGATCCTTCCCCTACCCTCCATTCTTTAGATACACGTGATTTTTGGGTATAGTCTCCTACCCATAATCCTTTAGTTGTTTTGTTTGGATTTTATTCTTTTCCCATATAGTTCTATTAAATATCATTAAATAAATAAACAGTAAAAAAATAAAATGGTAGAAGCCTTAGTTTTATAGAAATATAGTTAGTTATCTATTCCTTATAGCTTTCCAGGAAGTTAAAATGTTTATCTCAAGTTCCAGTCTTTGCATTCGAAATTCCAATAACTGATACACACCTCATCCCCTACCAACTCTTTAAAGATGTGTCAAATTGTGGTTGAAGGATGTTGTTTGAAGTTGAAACTGGTTTAAATCAAAAGCTTGGCAAACAGCCTCTTTTGTTCATTTGGTTTTGGTTTTATGCCTCTGAACATCTAGAATCGGAAAAAACAGGTTAAGTAATTTTACTCTGTCATCAAGTGTTAAATAAATGATGTCCCCAAGGACATGTACTTATTAGCAGATGTTGGTTGGGAGATTTATTTATGCGAGTTTCCTAAATTTAAGAAGTCTTCGAGTAGATCTGCAGCCTTAAAATTTCTCTGAATAGCTCATTTCTATGAGGCATTCTGACTTTGTAGGACAAAAAAGAGAAAACACAATTGAGGGACACTTGTTTGAATTTTACAGTCTCTAGGCATGGGGAAAAATCCTCACGTCTTAGAGCATGAGAGGGCGTGAACGAGCCATTGGCATAAAAGAGGTACCAGAATCTAGAGGAGCTGAAAGGACTGTCCCTACCATGGCTATGAGCATCAGATTTTCCAATATATGAGGTGTTTTCTTTGCCCAAATTGGCATTTATATGTCAGAGTTTTTAAAAGTAAATGTCACTATTTTTTCTGGTAATGTATGTTAATATAAAAATAGTCTCATCTGTATCCATTTTACAAATCAAGGATAGCCATATTACTTAATCTCCATTATTTTTCTTCTCTTTATATGTTTTTGTTTTCTCTCACATGCACATCAGTTCTCTGTATAGTGATACTCATTGACATCTTTATTCATGTTGCCCAAAAATGGGAAAATACCTAACCATCCATTAGTAAAATGGTTATGAATTCCTGTGTATATATAATTGTGAAATGCAAATGATACCAGGAGACATTTAGCTCGTCTTCTCTTTTAAGCAGTTTGACTCCAAAATTATCAGACATAGGTGTCTATTCTATTTTAAAGTATGCTAGAAAAAGTTCTTTCACACCCTTATAATTTATTTATTCAGATTTCTTCTCTGAGACCAGAATATTACATCACAACACTGAAAAATATAAATAGGAAAAAGATTGGGAGGCATTACCCTAAAATACAGTGATTTAGAGGGACTAACACAAAAAGTGCTTTCTCTCTCTGTCTTTATCCTTCTCTGTATTTTCTATTTTTCTATATTGAATAGCTGTACGTTTTATAATGGGAAAAATGAGCTTTATTTGAAGAGTAGAGTTGAGCACTTTTCTAATGTCTATCTTAGACCCATGGATAGTCTGGCTTCCATTTTCAAAAAAGCATTACTTTCTTTTCTCTTCTTTTTTTTTTTTTTTTTTAAGATTTTATTTATTTATTTATTTGACACAGAGAGATCACAAGTAGGCAGAGAGGCAGGCAGAGAGAGAGGGGGAAGCAGACTCGCCGCTGAGCAGAGTCCGATGCGGGGCTCGATTCCAGGACACTGAGATCATGACCTGAGCCAAAGGCAGAGGCTTAACCCACTGAACCACCCAGGCGCCCAAACATTACTTTCAATAATGAAAATTGAAACATGAAATTCTTTGTTTTTTTAATGTTACCGTGTTTATGGACATCAAACACTTTGTAGTGGGTTCATTGTCCGCACCTTAAACCCCCTTCTGCTTTACAAAATGTAAATACTTTCTTATATGTTCAATGAGTTGGCATTACTGTTCAGTCTTACATGTGGAATCTAGAAAATACTTGTATACCTAATACCTATATAGTGACAGGTACAGCAGTAAGAACTGAGATATTTCCAGAAATGTGGTCTGGCATTGGCTTTCATTCCTAGAATGAAACCGTCCAGTTTACACTGTTCTTTCAAAAACTTGAGCACAGCTGATTTCAATCTAGTATTTAATTTCCTGTTTGCCTGCTGTACAATTCTCTGGCGTAAAAAGCATTCCAATTTTTCTTTGGAATATGATGGGAATGTTTCTCTGGCAGGTTTTTATATTCATTATGCACATACTCCCTTCCAGAGATTGGGAGAATTGTGGCAATTACCCAGGTTATTCCTTTATTTTTCTAAAAGGAATAAAATGAGATGGTACTAATTGCAAAACATTCCAAGATGTTAGCTTTGCGAAACTATTGTTGTAAAGAGGAAAGCAGGCTTAGAAAATACTTTATTAGGAAAGCCTTCCAAAGAAGATGTGAAAAACATTCCTAATTAAAATGTGACTGTTCTATGAACAAACTTATTAACATATCTGAGGGAATAATTGGAACTAGAGAAAATCAGCAAGTTAATCTTATTTGATAGCTGATTTTGATTAGTAACCCTTACTAAACTAGCTAGCACTAGTGTTAGCTACACTAGTGCTTGTTAAATTCCTGTCCATAGGATCCTCATTTTAGGACATTTAAAAAATAAAAGATTCTGGATGGAAAATAGTCTACTGAAAAATGGGACAGGTATCTTGGTGAAAAAATCTCTGATATAGTTTGTTTCCTATGTGTTTATATAATCACAAGACACAAAAGGACACAAGAGGTATTTGGCTTATGCCCTGTTAAGCAGCTTGACTCCTTAACTATCAGAAATAGACAAATACTATATTTTTAAATCACCCTAGAAAAGGTGTTTTCACACCACTATAATTTATCTATTTCAGTTTCTTTTGGGAAAAAAGACTAATCCAAATCTAAATAATAAAAGGTGGGAGGTTGGTAATAAGCTTCATTAATTCAGTTTCTTCTGATTTGAAATTTATGATAATTAAAGAATTGGCTACATTTTTATTTATTCTACTTAGAAAGTTTATGAAGCACAGTACAGCATAAATGAGGCATTGGAAGAATATTTAAATTACTCAAAAATAATTATTTAAAACATGTTATTTTAAAGGAGTACTTTAGCAGTGGTAGTATCTAGAAGTGTCTAACAGTTCTGCAATTATGAATGATTATTAAAATGTAATTAGTTTCTACTATGCAACAATTTTTATTTTGCTTTAAATTTTCTATAATACATAGTGTTTATGAATGTGGTCCTTTTTCTAATGTAATTGTTCTATATTTTGACGTTTCACTTTATTTCTAGAATTAAAGAATACTAGAATAAAGAAATTAGAATATTTTGGAGAAGAATTTAAATCCCAGATCAAGATCACTAAGCTGAATCAGGCTATACATAAAGAATGCAGCTTCTTTGATATTGTGCCTCTTAGGAAAGATGCTAAGGCAGAGTTTTCTGGTTTTTTCTCCTGCTATCTGCCAGTCACATTGTTACCCCTTCCTGGGTACTACAGGTCCACCTAAAGACAATTGAAATGATCTTTACTTCTGTTCTTCCAGGGTTCTTTGCTTCTACTCTAAATTGAATGTGATCAGTAGGAGATGTAGTGATTAGAAGAGGAAAATCAAGATAGGAAGACAAAATTGATAATAATCAAATGGAAGCAGTAAGCAAAGATGGCTTAACAATTAATGAATGTTTATTTTGGAAAAACAATAATTGTCTTTAAATAATTAAAGCAAACTTAGCATAGCCTCCTAATGAAAGGAGTGTTTATATATTTTTACTGCCAAAGTTTCATAGCACAAGAGAATGGATTGTGACGCATTCATACGGTGCAATACTATAATACTAACAGCCGTAAGAAAGCAAACTACTAATCACAGCAACATGGACAAATCTTCAGAAAAAATTATGTTGATTAAAAGAAAGTAGGCTCCAGAGATTATCCTGTGTAATTCTATTTACATGAAGCTTAATATCAGGCAAAGCTAATAGTTGATAGAAGTTAGCATAAAGTTTATGTTGAGAGATATATTCTTGGAAGGGGGACATAGGAACTGTATGTGATGTTGGAAATGTTCTATATCTTGACTTTGGTGTATGGCTATGTGGGTGTATATCTATGTACACAATCATCATTTAAGGTTAGTGCATTTGTGTACTTTATATATGTCAACCCTCACTGAGAAAATGAACTTGATTACTACTATTAAGTATATACCATTTCAAAAAAATAAACTTATTTTGTTAAAGTGAACCCAAATCAAAAGACCATCTTAGGGTTAAGATATAACAATAAATAAAGGCATTCTCATTAGTTTTTGAAAGTTTGCATCTTATATTTCACTGAATGAATATGTTATCCAGCTCCCTGTAATTTGATAGCAGATTAACAAATTGATGTTGTATATGTTTTTCTTTTTACTAAAATTAAATAATTATTCTAAAATCTCAGTTGACAAAAATGAATCTCATTTTAAGGAGCATTGCCGCCAATTTACAATAATTTTATTTTCCAGGTGGTTTGGGAACATTCCATGCCTTTCTAAATACAGCCGTACATGTAGTCATGTATTCCTACTATGGGCTCTCCGCACTGGGACCAGCATTCCAGAAGTATCTATGGTGGAAAAAATATTTGACATCATTACAGCTTGTGAGTAATTAATTTTCTTTAAAACCAGATATAAAATTAAGCTGGAGTAATTTCTCTTCCCTATGAATCAGAATACTAACGAAGGAACAAAAGTTACAAAACAATAGGAATATAGAGTGTGTGGCCTCTATAGTGCATCCCATCATTATCCTTTCCATGTTATTTAAACTTTCCTAAAGAACTGTGTTGGAAACAAAGTATATTTTTGGTAGCCAAGAGCTCAGACAGTTAAACCAGAATGTGTATCTTTAGGCTATCTTTGTACTATTTTATACTTTTCTATAAAATAAATATAGTTATGGGATGCCTGGGTGGCTCAGTCATTAAGCATCTGCCTTCGGCTCAGGTCATGGTCCCAGGGTCCTGGGACCAAGCCCCGCCTCGGGCTCTCTGCTTGGTGGGAAGCATGCTTCTCCCTCTCCCGCTCCCCCTGCTTGTGTTCCATTTCTGACTGTGTCTTTCTCTGTGAAATAAATAAATAAATAAATAAAATCTTAAATAAATTTATGACAAAGATAATCTCAAAGTTATTTGCACTACAGCAGGCACAATATTAAATTAGGAGTTAGAAATACCATCTAAATGACTTTGGGGGAGGGAATATAACTTTGAGGGGATAATGAGTCTTCTTGTATGCCTGGCTCTAAGTCTGGTTTTCCTCCAAATGGCAAACATACATGCGGATGAAAGAGGTAGGGGAATAGTATACCGTATATATTGACAAATTGACAATGCTCTAAATAAGCAAGTGTAAGGAAATAGTGAAATAAATTATTTTAATTCCTACTTTGCAATATTATAAAATCAGGAAAATTATTCACTATTGCTTTCTTTTTAAGTATTTTTTTTCTGATTGTGAAGTAACATATGCTCATCACTGAGAAATTAGAATATCTAACTAAGCAAAGAGAAAGAAAAATAAGCCTAATTCCGCATGTATGTAAATACCTGTTCCATGATTTGCATTATACTGCATAGACAATTTTGTATTGGGCTTTTTTTCCACTTATCTACTCTTAAATGTTGTAAAAACTTTTTTTTTATTAATGTGGCAAAATGCTAAAATAGAAGAAAGAATAGATATTATCTCAAATGTGTTGGTTATACACAAACACGCCTGCATCAGATATTGGCGTGTCACCGAGGCTTCCAGAGGTGTCATCTTTATGTCTGCCAAATGAGAGAAATAAGGGTACCTACTGCACAGGAATGTCATGGAAGTTTCTTAAGATAATGCAGGGAGGGGCGCCTGGGTGGCTCAGTGGGTTAGGCCTCTGCCTTCGGCACAGGTCATGATCTCAGGGTCTGGGATCGAGTCCCATATCGGGCTCTCTGCTCAGCAGGGAGCCTGCTTCCCCCTCTCTCTCTGCCTGCCTCTTTGCCTACTTGTGATCTCTCTCTGTCAAATAAATAAATAAAATCTTAAAAAAAAAAAGATAACGCAGGGAAAGTTGAAGATGATCAAAAAAGAAACTGAAAACCTTAACTATGGTCATAAATGGAAGATTATAGGTAACTGTTATTTTTTTTTATTTATGAATTTTTACTTGTCTAACATTCCCACAGAACACATGTTGCCTTTTAATCAGGAGAAGAAAGAGATGCAAAAAATCTGGACATTAGCCTGGGGAGTGTTCCTTTTAAGATTGTGTAGACTGTTCTGGAACAAAGAGCCCTTGGACATCATGAGGAGTGTCATCAATATTGTTTCACTCCTTACAGATTCTCTACTGCCATTGGCAGGATATATTTTTATCCTGATATGACTGTGGGTGACAAGTGGCAGATACCAGGACTCAGGGATGCTTTTGCTCCTATGAAATCGCTAGGGCTTTAATTAGAATGAATGTGTTTCCCCAAAATTGAAATACCTCGTCTAACAACAAGACAGATTATTTGAAATTGAAGCTCTTCTAGAAAATGAGACCATAAGAAAGTCATCCCACCCATGTGTATTTCATCAAGTCAAGGACTCAAGACAGAGACTTGCCAAGAAAACCTGCTCAGATGGTTCTTTCTGTGGGTACGAAGGGGCTGTTGCCCCGCCCAGCTCCTGGGCCATTTACGTAGGGCCGCTGGAGTTGTACACTTAGGCAGGACTGAGTAGTGGTTTCCCATTCCCATCTGGATTTTGACAATGTCCCACCCACTCTGACTCCCATGGAGGCTAGATTTAAAGATAAAATTCCCAACCCAATAGCAGCCTAAGATGTGGTTGCAGAGTGTTTAAGCATAAGCAGCCAAAGAATGCATTAAATGATTGCTCCTTTGTGACTGCATATCTGAATAATATTTTTCATTCTTTCATCTTTTAGGTCCAATTCATTATTATCACCATCCACATAGGCCAGTTCTTTTTCATGGAAGATTGCAAGTACCAGTTTCCAGTCTTTCTGTACATCATCATGAGTTATGGGTGCATCTTTCTGCTGCTCTTTCTCCATTTTTGGTACCGTGCTTACACCCAAGGCCAGAGGCTGCCCAAAACTGTGAAAAATGGAATCTGCAAAAGCAAAGATCACTGAAATGCAAGCACGACATGAATCTATGAGACTGGTATCTTACTTTCCTTGACAATCAAGAGCTTTATCCATGTGAAGTGCATTTTGTATATTTTTCAAAACCAAGAACTTGTATTTTTATGATAAGTTATTGGGGTTTCTGATATTTGAGAGCCCAAGGTCCCAGATAACAGAGTCTAATTAGAGCCTAAAGCAGGTAGTTTTTCAGCTGCTTTTAAACCTAATCTAAAGGTTTTATTTAATGCATTTTGTTATGGTGAAAGGAGGATATGAAACAGTATAGTACTTTTCAAAGAAGTCCAATATAGATGAAAATATCATCAGATATTTTGATTGTGGACAGAGATCCATGCCCTACTATAGATTTCTTCTGCCAGCTCTAAAAACCTCTAACTGGGAGTTTTGGCTGTTGATTATATTCAGAAGACACTGTATTTACTCTAAAGTTAAATTCCTATCCTAAAGAACTAACACTGATGAATATTAAGTGAATTTTTGGTAAGTTGTCATTTAACATCGCTAACAGTAATTTTTAATGATCTTTTGTGTAGCCACGACCAGTTTCACTGATAAGACTTCGCTACAACACTTTTGTCGTATATATACTGTTTAAAAGTAACAATTCTTTCAGTTAGTACCTTGATGCACTTAACACTAAGGTTAAGTTAATGTTTTGAAAACAAGAGGATTTGTTCTGTAGCTTAAGGAGCACCGTGCTATTACTATTTTGCAGTTAACTTTGTGTGTTTCTGGAAAGAGGTGAAATTTGTCAATGGAATAAGTACTTTGTAGTTCAGTGGGAAAAATCTGTTGTTGTATTATAATGTCACTTTCTCATATTGTTATGGCTTAAAGGATTATCTTGTTAATATGTATTGCTTACATATGTAAACGTTCAAATCCTTAGCACAATGCAGGTACCCTTAAATCATAAATGATTTCAGACCTTCCACTATACACAGTTTCCAGAGATGAGTTAGAGTTGTTTGTGAAGCAACTGGAGGGGTTGTTTGTGAAGCAACTGGAGGAAAATGGTTGCACAGAAATTCTCCAGGGACTACATATGATTATGGTAAGGGTCTCAATAAAGAGAGAAAGAGAGAGCCTGTTTAATAGTTGGTATAGATACACTGCATAGAAAAATGTTTCCCAGAGTTATGAATTAATCAATAGCCTGGATTTCTTTTTTCAGACCTATAAATTATATAATGAAGACTTGAAATTCATTTTGCCTACTTTTGTTTTTTCACAATTACTGCTTTCTAAAATTCTCTTGTTTTCCTATTTTCTTGTTGCAAACTGAAACTACTGGTCAATAGACTTTTGTGTCAGAAACAATGATATTTGGACATTTCTGAATTTTTCCCTATTGGTTTTTCATTCTTGTTATATTTATACTTGATTTTGAAGGACTGCTTATGCCTATATGACTTTAAACAATTAATACTTATGGGTCTCAGTTATGTAACACACAGTGATAGCATTGTCCATCAGAGCCCGAGTTTTTCCTCACTGTGAATTCTTATAGTTCGATGTGTCACGCCAGGTGTTTAATCTATACCATGGCCTTCTCTTTCACACTTAGCAGATTTATAAGGTTATTTGCTTTTAAGTGACCTTTACTGATTTCACTTGCTTACAATATGAGAAGATAAGAGTTGATAAATGGGGGAAATATTTATTTTCCTCAAAAAAAAAAAAAAACAAAAAGAAAGCACAGCAAGAAAGAAAGAACAACAGTTATAATTTATTTCTCTGAGGGCCTCAGGGTTCCTAAACTATTTTCCTATTTTGATTCTTTTCATCCAGCCTGCGCTAAAACGAGACGGTGTAGCGGGTGTTGTTACACAGTGCACACAATTCCCAAACACCCAAGTAGACTAAAGACCAAAAGGAAGCATGAAGAAAAGAAGGTGAAACAGGAGAGTTTGGTTTTCGCAATACTGTCTATCCAGCAGTGTGCAACCTCTCCTAACCTCCTTGTAGCCTTTAAAATGCCTGACTTGCTTAAAATGTCTGACAGTGTGTGATGGAACCATGTTCTAAATTATGTGAATAGAAGTGGAGAGCTGGAATGTTACATGAAAAGGAATCACAGCTAGCAGAAGTATCCTTCATATATATATCATTAGATCAAAATGTATTATCACTGGATGTACGATATGCATGGACAGTATGTTATTAAAGGGCTCTATGGGTCACATAGAGTTTCTATTGGGGTTTCATCCACTTTTCAAGATTTTATTGCCTTTGGGTTTGCTTACCTAACAAATAAAGAGACCAGTTACAAAATCTAGTTTATGATATGAGGTTCTATGAATCATTTTAAATATCCATGGGACATTGCCAGTTTACAGTCTTAATTGAGTTGGATTTAAGAATTCAATTTGAGAAAAAAAATCAATTTAAGAATTTAAGAATTCAATTTAAGAATTCAAATTTAAGAATTTAATAATTGAACTTAAGAATTCAATTCAGTTGAGTTGAATTTAAGAATTGAGTGGACTATATTGTTACCTAAATTACAAAATTATGAGATTTCTCCTCAATTATCTCTTGTTTCTGTTAAATTTTTAAAGATTATGGAAAACTGTGGATATTGTCAGAGAGAGAGAGTGTGTGTGTGTGTGTGTTTGCATTATAGTAAATTTGTGGTAGTGTGGTTGTATGTGTGTCCTTTATCTTGGAATCTAACTGCATATGTTTGCATGGGTAGGTGGTTTTAACCTGAATACTCATTTAACCAAAACATTTTACACATTTGTTGCACCCTTTGTATATTCAGAACCCCTGCTAGATGTTTTAGTGATACAAAGATGTCTTGAACATAGTTGGGGCCTCCTGAAACTTATAGACTGACAGAAGATTTTATGTAACAGGAACTGTTCTCTCCGTTTAAGGACCTATAACAAAAGTGATACATTACTGGCTAGAATTTAGTCATGTGGGTCACATGTAGCAGAAGGAAATCAGGGGAATAATATTCTATCCTAGCTGACTTTCAGGCTAAAGTCAGGGATTCTATGACTCTGGAAGAAGGAGGTGATAGTGGGGGCTATAGTCTGGTCACAATTCAAAGTATGGAGGTAGTACTACATGGCTCTGGAAGTGAGTGGCTGGTACAGAAAGTGTATGATGGTTATTGGAATTGAACAGATGGGTGAAGTGTTAGGCATGGTATTGGATGGAATATCCACATGAATGTGGAGGAGTCTTGGAATGAATATGAGCTAGATGATTAAGGACTCTGAATAGGGGTATATAGCCAAGAAGACAGTGGATGGCAATAATGAGAAGAGCAATGTGACACAAGCCTCAAAATCTTAGATTGTGCATGCATGGCATTCTTTTTCAAAATAAACCTAATTTTAGAATAGTTTAGATTGACAGAAAAATTATGAAGTTAGTGCAGAGAATTGCCATATATGCATACCCAGTTTCCCTATTAATAACCTCCTAGATAAATCTAATACATTTATTACAGTTGATGTGCCAATGTTGATACTTTATTATTAACTGAAGTTCATACTTCACTCGTATTTTCTCAGTTTTCACCTAATGTCCTTTTTCTGTTTCAGGATTCCATCCAGGATGCCATTATTTTTAGTTGTCCTGTGTTAAGCTTGTTTTGGCTGTCATGGTTTCTCAGACTTCCCTTTTTTTTTTTTTTAAAGATTTATTTATTTATTCATTCATTCATTCATTCATTTTAGAGAGAGGGAGGGAGAGCAGGGGGAGGGACCAGGGAAGAGGGAAAGAAAGAGTCTTAAGTAGGCTGCATGCCTAGCAGGGGGCCCCAAAGTGGGACTCTGTCTTGCAACCCTGAGATCATGACCTGAGTGGAAATTGAAGAGTCAGATACTCACTGACTGAGCCACCCAGGTGCCCCAGGTTTTTCTTATTTTTGATGACTTTGACAGTTTGGGGGAATACTGGTCAAGTATTTTGTAGAATGTCCCTCAACTGGAATTTATCTGATGTTTTTCTCATAAATCAGGTAGGAGTTATTAGTTTTTAGGAGGAAGACAATAGAGGTATCTTATCACATCGTATCAAGGGTATATACTAACGATATGACTAACAAAACTTGATTTTAACCTTGATCACCTGGTTGAGGTAATGTTACTCTTTTTCTCCTTTTGTACTTTATTCTTTAAAAGGGAGTCACTCTGCAGTCACACTTAAGGATAACCCTTTGAGTGCAAAGTATCTATACAAATTATTTGGAATTCTTCTGCCTAGGTTAGTTGCCTGTTCTCTCCCATTTATTTATTCAATGATCCATTTATGTTAGTGTGGACTCATGAATATCTGTTTGCTACATTAGAATATAATCTAATACTACATTACTTATTTAATTGCTCAAATCCTTCCAGTTTTAGCCACTGAGAGTTCTTCTGCATGGTTTCTATGTCATTTTGACATATTTCCACTTCCTTCTGGGACTGCAAGATGCTCCAGACTCATTTTGCATATTTCCTGCCCTGGCTCTAGAATCAGCCAGTTCTCCAAGGGGTCCTGATTTCTTTCATAGGGGAATGGTATTAGAAGCCCAGAGCTGGCGATAGGTGTGGTCATGGCTACTAGAGGGTTATTGGTTCTAGGCCCTCTTGGCTGACAGCAGAGAAATGTAGGTGTATATACTAACTAGTACACACCTGTAAATATTTCTATATGTAACCATCTTAAAGTAAACTTGAGTTCATGTTGATACCCTCAGTTCTAATCTATTACCACATGGATCATTCTAGCCTTTGCCCATTGCTCGCCTCTAACTCCAGTAGTGAGAAACCTGACTGTCACATGTGCCATGAATTTACTTACTAGTTCAATTCTAATATACGTGTAAACTGATTTCAGAATTGTTAACCCATTTCACACTTTATCAACCAGAGTTCCTTTTGTTCTTCATTGACAGACTACTCATTTCCACAATTACTTAGGTCAGCACCTTTCCTCCTCACCCTCTCCTATGAAGTTGTTTCATATATTTCTAATACAGTTAGGTTCTTTTATCATTCTACATTCCTTGACTCTCCCACCTTCCAAATGATTTTTATAAGCTTTGCGTCTTTTAAGTTTGACTCTGTGCTCTAAAGCTCTTTGAGTTTTGACAAATGTGTGGTGTCATATATTCATCATTACTGTATCATACAGAATAGTTTCCCTGCCCTAAAAACACAGAGGTGTGCTTCACTGGTTCAATCCTTCCCCACCCTAAGCCCCTTGCATCCACTGATCTATACCATCTCTGTAATTGTGCTGTTTCCAAAATGTCATATAAATGGGAATGTTTCAAGTTTTTATTTAGATTCCAATTACTTAGGATTTAGTGTAATATTAGTGTCAGGTGAATAGCTGTGATTCAACACTTCGGTACATCACCTGTTGCTCACCCCCAAGTGCCCTCCTTAATCCACATCACCAATTTCACCCATTGCCCCTTCCACCTCCCCTCTGGTAACCCTCAGTGTGTTCTCTATAGTTAAGGGTCTGTTTCTTATTGTTTTTATTTTATTTATATTATTGCATTTTTCCCATGATAAATGATTTAATACAATCAAGTTCTTTTTATTCCTCACATGGGATGCCTTTTATTTTCTGATCTTTGCCAATTTCTACAGATACTCCAGTCTTTCTTCAAGTGCTTTCTCCTGCTCAAAATCTTTACAGATCTTATCAGCCCTCTTAGCAACACCTTCGTCTTTTGAATTTCTGTTTTGCTATACCACAGGTAGTCATCCCATATCTAACTTACTCACACTCAGTTGCAGATTCAGTCTTTTCCTGTGATTATGAAATCCAAAAGTCCCTGAAACCCAAAGCTTCGGTCAAGCTTGACTTGGGCATTGAGAGACCATTGGTCTTTTTATTCGTCCACATAAAGTAACTGTTAATATATTTCACCACAGAAATGTGAATGTTTGACTGTGGGATGCTGCCTGAACCCTGCTGTGACATTGAATAATATCTGGTATATATACAACAAATCCTCTCA